GGCGAGAAAGTGCTTTGAAAACATTAATATGAAGCATTATCAAATTGTTTCATTTCGCTGCTTCGTCTTTCAACAAAAAACTCTTTTCGAACTCTGCATACTGTGCCTTGTTTATAACTCAGCACTGAACCAACATATAATCCTCCGCACAGGATCTGGGTTTAAAAAGTAAAATGAAACCTGAAAATGAAATGTTATGTTTTTTTAAGGTCCATAAAACATCATAGAAGTAATTTTCTATCCTGTTTTTGACCCTCTCTTAAACACTTATTTTGATAGGCATGCCGCATTCAAGACGTGCTAGTAAATACTCACTGCTATGATTTAGTAAAAGTTTTGCATATTAAAATAATTTAATTTAAAATAAAACATCCTTTGTATGCATGAACAGCTTTGAAAACTTCCAAAGTTGAAAAATGACAACCAGTGATATTTAGCCATGTTTTAGCCAGAGTCTTTGGTAGAGCTGATCAAGGGTATTATTGATTGGTTAATTAATTTGAATATCCCCAACTGAGCAAACAGTGGCAAGGAACTGAAAAACTCCATCAAGTGAACTAATGGTGTCCTAAAACTCCATCAGGTGACCCAATCGAGAAAAAAAAAAAAAAAAACCTTGGGAGAACCCACACTGTAAAATAAAATCCGTTAAATTTACGGGGAAACTCCGGCAGCTGTGGTTACCAGAGTTTTCCTGTTAAAAGTACGGTAGCAACATTTTAGGTTTTACAGACTTTGACCATATTTAATTTTCCAGCAATAAACCGTATTTCATTATTTGATATAATGTTAGTTTAATGACATTTTGAAATATTAATATCGGTTTTGTTCAATTGCAATACACCGACAGCCTTCAATCACAGCAATAATGAGAGTCAAATGATCAATCAAAGCTCATCATTATCAGCTCTTCCACAAGAGAGTTCATACTAGAAGCTGCGCAGTCTTCTATATAGTAGTATCATGTTATCACTGTGAAGCTGCTTTGATACAATCTATATTGTGAAAAGCGCTATTTAAATAAATGTGACTTGACTTGACAGTCTCATTCACACAAACATATTAAACACCATCATGGTAACATGTTGAAATTTTAAAAATGAAATAAGAATTAATTTAACAACGTTAAATGTAACATAAAACCCTAATGAACATAACTGATAAGAAAAAAAACTAAGAAAATTATGAATAAACAAATACATTAAATGTAAAGTGTCACAAAGGGAATTGTGGAAAGTTCACTGTAAATTATATAATGACTTCTTCTTTTTCACTTCCAAAAACTGTAAATTTAACAGTATTTTACACAGTAAAACTACATTAAATGTACCATTATATACATCACAGTTATTTACCGTATATAGTAAGGAAACTTTATGTTAACCAATTAACAGTTTTTCACTGTAGCATTTTTACAGTCTTTTACTGTTAAAACCAAGATCATTTTTTACAGTGCAGGCTCTGTCGGGGGCCAGTTTTCCTCTGGCGTTTATGAACTAGAGGCCGGATTTACAGTAACTGTAAGGTAAAAATGAGTATGAATGTCTCTAAACAGACTTACGCGAACCTGTGATAAACGCTGATGGCGTTCACATGCGCATTAAGAATTGATTCTATAGTTATGTGCGTTTGAATATAATTCCCTACAAAACCATGCCTGAACATTGTCTTGTCTATAAATTTAATACTGAATTTTGCTTTATTTTATCACTTTGGGGTAGGTGAGTGGGAAAGGGATCCTCCATAGGGAGAGGCTAGTTGGCACTTGAGCACTGCATTATCTTCAGGTCCAGACTAAGCTCCTCGTCAGATACGGCCAGGATACGGCCAGGATCTGGCAGGCTGCGGGAAAACCTCGGGATAAACAAAGACACTCAAATTAGCATAGAAGCCATTCTTCTTATGATGAGCATCGGGATTTAAGGGAAGTGTTCCCAGTTCCGGATGATAATCTATGCAGCCTAACATTGAATTATAGAAATCTATAATGTATTATATGCTAGGGCAACGAGATGCGTCTTTAATCGAGATTTGAACTGACAGAGTGTGTCTGCTTTCGAGACAATGGTAGGAAGACTATTCCACAGTTCTGGTGCTAAATAGGAAAAAGATCTACCGCCTGCAGTTGGTTTTGATATTCTAGGTATTATCAACTGGCCAGAATTTTGAGATCGAAATAAACGTGAAGGACTATAATGCGTTAAGAGCTCGCTCAGATACTGCGGAGCTAAACCATTTAGTGCTTTGTAAGTAATCAACAATATTTTTAAATGTATACCATGTTTAATAGGTAGCCAATGCAGGGTTAACAGAACCGGGCTAATATTGTCATATTCCCTTGGGTTCTGGTAAGAACTTGAGCTGCTGTGTTTTGGAGCTGAAGTTTGTTTATTAAGCATGCAGGGCAACCACCCAGTAGAGCATTACAATAATCTAGCCTTGATGTCATGAACTCATGAACTAATTGAAAATAGGTATCTTAAATTAACTTCACATATTCTTATGTATCCACTAGCTGATTTATTTAATCTTTCTTTGTTTACATGTGAATTGCCGGCGATCTGGAAATGTGCACGTATTACTCCACTTTATAAGGGAGGTGATGTACTTGATATCAATAATTACAGGCCAATATCTATTATATGTTCTATATCCAAAGTTTTCGAAAAAATAATTCATAAACAACTCTCAAATTATGTATGTATTAATAATATTCTATCACCATCTCAATCTGGTTTTAGGAGTAACCATTCTAATGCACTACTAAAGTTTACAAATGATGTGTTTTCAGCTTCAGATAACGGCAAGCTCACAGGTGCTATTTTTCTTGATTTGACTAAAGCTTTTGATTTGGTTGATCATTATTTGCTTTTAGATAAACTTTATGCTATTGGTTTTTCAAAAAATACTATTTTGTGGTTTAATTCATATCTGCACAATAGGAAACAATGTGTTGTCTTAAATGGAAACAAATCAGATTTTTTGGTCCAACAAAGTGGTGTGCCTCAAGGTTCTGTTTTGGGACCACTTCTTTTTTCCATTTATGTGAATAATATACCATTGCTTCTCAATAATTGTCAAGTGCAACTTTATGCGGATGACACTGTCATATATACTTCTAAGTCAGATCCTATACAAATTCAATTATTTCTTCAATCTGATTTTAATAGTCTACAAGACTGGCTTTTAGCTAATAAATTAGTACTGAATAAAACCAAGTCATACATTATGATCTTTGGTTCTAGACATAAACTTAACTCAAAAAACCTGTTCTTGTGCTATATCATGTAAAGACAGCACTCCTCTGCATAGAGTTGATACTATTAAGTACCTTGGTGTATGACTTGATTCTGAACTCTCCTTTAAACCTCACATTAATCATGTCTTGCGAAAAGTCAATGTTGGGATGAGTATTTTGTATCGATCTCGAAATTGCTTTACTTACAATGTTCGTAAGAAACTAGTTGCTCAATTAATATGTCCGTTTTTTGATTACTGTGATATAGTTTATCAGACGGCATTAAAATCTTATCTTGTTTTACTTAATTTAGCATATAATAGAATTTGTAGATTTGTTTTAGGATGTTCTTTTTCCACTCACCACTGTAGAAGGCAGATGCATTGGCTTCAATTTATATTTAAATGTATGAAGAGTTCAGATGCAAAAGCCTCTAAATGCCATTTGAAATTTTCTTCTTGAATGATGATTTTTATCAAACTTGTATATTCAAGTTCAGTAATTTCACTTAAATGACAATTAATAGGTAATTATCATTGCCATTTAAGTGAAATCACTGAACTTACATATACAAGCTTGATAAAAATGATCATTCTAGAAGAAAATTTCAAATGGCACTTAGAGGCTTTTGCATCTGAACTCTTCATATTTACTTTGATTACCCTTGTTATTTACAACAATATTTTGTACTCTTTTCCTCAAACTATCAAATTAGGCATTCCGTCCAGACTTACTTTTTTGTTCCTCGTGTTAAAAGAACAATTGGTAAGAGAGCATTTATGTTTAAAGCTCCATGCATTAGACTGGAATAATTTACCTACAGGTATTAGATCCATTACTTCACTTCGGTTGTTTAAACAATCTTTATTACTTTATTTAAAAGTAGACTGCTCATGTTATTATTGAAACTGGTGTTGTAGCTTTGTGTATTGTTGTTGTGTATTGTTGCTTATATGTATATGTGTGTGCATATATGTATGTATATGTATACATTGTTTTCTTCTTTTTTTTGTATTGTTGGTGTCTTGTTTGATGTATTGTAAATTGTAATTTTGTTATGTTTTTGTTAGTTCTAATTGTTTCACTGTAAGGACCCCCTCGAAAACGAGATGATACATCTCAAGGGGTTAATCCTAATAAATTCTAATAATAATTGTTCCACATATGTCAATGAGAGCATTTGACGTAGTTTAGAAATATTTTTAAGATGGAAAAATGCGGTTGTACAGATACTAGACACGTGACTTTCAAAAGAAAGACGACAAAGACTTAACAGAGCAGCCATCAACAATGAACCTACATATCAAAACTCAACAATATTAATGATTTGACTGCATTGACACTATTGGACAAGAACTGAACTGGATCATGACATCACTGTTTTCTGCAGAACTGCCTTATAGATTAAATAAACTAATTTAATAATAGATGATCTCCACAACTGAACTGACTTGAATGACACTTTTCTTCTGCTGTTCATTGAATAATTATCCTGTTATTTCTTAAAAGCTGCTTTAAAACAATCTGTATTGTATAAAGCGCTATATAAATAAAGGTGGCCTGAAGATGTTTTTAAGCAATTTAACACACAGGATGTTTTTAAAGATCTCTTGTGTGTCAAATGATTTCTCATGTGATGACCTCTATAAACTGCTTCAGTTTCTACATAATGTTTTAATGAAAATTTAAAACGTCAATGTTTTTGTTTAAAGCCAAAGTAGACCAATAACTTTCAGAATGATAAAAATAGAGCAAAGAGAAATAGGAGAAAATATAGAATAGAATTTAATTACAAAAAAGCCCAAAAACACATCCAATCAAATGCACTTTCAAAAAGGTGATGAATTCAAGGCACGCTTCAGGAATCATTAGAATTATGTACATTAAATATTGATAGAGCAATACTTTATGCATTTAAATTTGACAGTATTGGACAGAATTGACAAGTAAGTTTATTTATAACCATGTGATTGCCATCATTTACACTTCTGTGGTTTGATCCATATACCTGAAGATGGCTTGCTGTTTTGACAGCACAATCATTTGTCATTGGGTGTGTTAATTAAAGTTGACCTGTGAAAGTTACATTCTTTTTTTCAATGGGTGTGGTTTTGCAAATACGTAAAGCTATTTAATTGCAAAACCACATCCATTAAAATATATATATATATATATATATATATATATGACTTTCACAAGTCAACCTTAACACACCCAATGACTTTGAAAGCAGAACTGAGCACAAAGCACATCTACGTTTGGACCCAAAATGTTTAGTCTTTAAAAATACAACTCATTTTATTTATCAAACCAACCTTGCAATGGTACAAAGACGGTCAGGGTGCTGTCATGGCATAAAATATCATGACTGGCTGCTTTACTTTCTAAACCCTAAAAATTAAAGTGCATCCCTTACATATGCTGGTATTTGGCATATTCATACACATTTTTTTTAAATCTGAAATGAAGTCAGTATATAGAAATAGCCCCAGTAAAGGAAGTATGAAAGAAAGGAAGTATGAAAGAAAGAACGAAAGAATGAATTTAAAAAAAGCAAAATATCTATCATATTATGATGGTACATCTAAAACGAAAAATTCACATAGTCCAAACAATGTAATGATCTAATAAATTAGCAAACAACTTTCAGGACTGTTAGTGTGTGTTTTATATTAATTAACACACATTGACTCATACTCAGATTTATACCCCCACAACAAATGATACATAAGTAACTTTGGCACAAAACAGTTTTGATGCAGAAAGAAATCTGATAACTAACTTTCCACACAAAAAAAAAAAAAAAAAAAAAAAAAAAAGAAAAGAAAAAAGTACGACCTTCCAAGAAATTTCCAAAAAGATCAATTTGGTCATGTCAGTCCAAAATGTAGCTATCTAGTTTAAAGCCACACTTTAATATCCACATAATTCTTGGAACAAAAGCATCCAAGCGTCGTGACTAGATCCTCTCATGGTTGTTGAAAACGACAACAAAATCATTCAACAACCATTTTGGTGGAGAGAATGGGATTGTCTTCATTACATTCTTTTTCTGGCAGTGTTCACACATCCCCCCGAGATTCATCTGTTAAAAGAAGCAGGGCAGAAAAGCTGTTAAAAAGCAGGTCAAACGAGATCATATCTGAGGTATAGATTTCCGACATCACAGTCCACAGTCTACAGTTGAGCAGAGACTGAGTGATACTTGTGTCAATATTTGAGGGATCTGGCAGAATAATCTAGTGTTTGACTACCTTCTCAACGATTTGGCTTCATAAACAGTGTTATCGTCCTCATCGCTTTCCAGGTGGGCCATCTCCATTGTGTCGTCATGGTTTGAAAGGAGCCCGTATTTCTTCCTCTGAACACCTTTTTTTTTCAGACTTGAACGAGAGCACAAAAAATCATTTAACACTTGAAGGAACAGTTCAAACAAACATACACACACACATAAATACATAAAAATATATGAAGAGTTCAGATGCAAAAGCCTCTAAATGCCATTTGAAATTTTCTTCTTTAATGATGATTTTTATCAAACTTGTATATTTAAGTTCAGTAATTTCACTTAAATAACAATTAATATGTAATTATCATTGCCATTTAAGTGAAATCACTGAACTTACATATACAAGCTTGATAAAAATGATCATTCTAGAAGAAAATTTCAAATGGCACTTAGAGGCTTTTGCATCTGAACTCTTCATATATATATATATATATTTTTTTTTTTCAAAACTCTTCACTCAGTCTGCATTACCAAACAGTAAATCTCACCTTCAAAACTCACACAGACCAACAAAACACTGCATATATGTCTCAAGATAAGCTTGTTCCTGGCAACAATTCTCATTCATAAAAAACATTCACTTCATTCATAACACACCGACCTGAAAAAAAAAACACTAACAGGGAGATTTACATAAATGGTGAACTCTAATTTTTAAAGTTTGAATGATTATTTTTCACATAAATATTAATTACTTGATAAAAATATTATTATAAAAATACATTTTCGTATTATACTGACTGCATAATATGGATATTTTCAGTTTACTGACTGCATTACAGCCTAAAGAATGAATGAGAAATGCTGCAATATCTTTTTTCTAAAACTTTACATAGAGTAATTTAGATGCAAAAAAAATAATAAAATAAAAGTTCAAACAACAACAACAGCCAAAATAAATGAATAAATAAATAAAACCACCAACACTGTGTCTAGTATAATGGGATATATGCAGTATTGGAGACACAACGATGTTCTGTGTGTGAACATTGGTTTCCTCTGGGTTTACCACACAATCCAAAGACCAGTGTTGGGAGTAACGCATTACAAAAGTAATACATTACAGTAACATATTACTTTTTGCTGTAATGCAGTAGTGTAAGGCATTACTAACCAATTTTCAGTAATATTTTACTCGTTACATGTTCAGTGAGGCTTGTATTACAGGCAACAGACTATGTGAAAGTTTTAAAGCAGTCTTTTAGTGCCAGTTCAGAGCGGTCGCGTCTGTAACATTGTTTTTTCCTCATAAATGCGAACACGAAAACTAAAATAAAATGAATATTTTAAGTTCTATGGAGACTGGAGAGCCAACCCTTCCTCATCCGATTTGCGCAGTGTAATTAACAGAATTACAAAAAATATATTTTGCCTCCTATTTTTTTGTCACGCATGAATGTGTGTCTTTTCCCTAATATTAAAAATAAAACAGACTGATATTTGTCTAATGTCTGGAGTCCTTTAAAGAAGTAGCCTATACGTTTCAATACATTTTCTGAGAATTTTTATTTCAAGTTTTGACTGCAAATGTCATGTCCATAATGCTGGACCCAATTTTAAATAATTTATCCTTAACTAGTTTTGTGGTGTAGGTCTACGTATTTTATAATGATAACTTCAAATAATACTAATAGCCTAATTTAAAGATAAGGCAGCATTGGATCTGGACGGTAAGGAGAATAACGCTGGGAGTTGGAAGAGGTGTGTCGCGATTCTGTAGGTTCGTTGATCTGAGTCGTGTGGCGAATCGCGATTTCGGTTTCATATTGCATATCGTTACAGCCCCAAAGTAAAGTTCTACTTAGTTATTTTGGTGAAAGTAACTCAAAAGTAATACATGACTAATGTAACGCATTACAATTCTGAGACAGTAATATTGTAAGGTAATGAATTACTTTTAAATAACAGTAACAAGTAATACCTAATGTATTACAGTTTGGAAGTAACTTGCACAACACTGCCAAAGACATACAGTACAGGTGAGCGTGTGAATATGAATGTGTGCGAGTGTGTCATCCCTGTGATGGGCATTCCCAGACTGTCCAGGGTGTTTTCCTGCCTACGACCCGAGACGCTGGGAAGATTCCAGTCTCCCCACGACACAGCCCTAACAGTCCAAGCGCTTTGGAAGCTTGTATGGAATACATGGGTGGATGGATGGATGGATTTACAGTACTGTGAGGTTTCTAGTCCTCCTCCTCTCTGCCAATCTTCCTCCCTCACTCTACCAATTTTCTTTCCTCGTCTATGTGTCTTCCTTGATCCATGTTTCAAAATTACTCTAAAGCCATCCCAATTCCCAAAGAGAACCGTAAAAAAAAATAGTACTGTAATAGAGACTAAAACATGACATCTGGTTGTAAAACTGGCCATTAGTTGTATTTGTAATAATTATTATTTAATTTCATTGTAAATATTCTGCGAAGACTTTAGATTTAAATATAATTCCTGCAGAAATGCACGGAGTTTGTCATCATTCTGATTTGAATGTGCTTTTGTCAGTTTTGAAAGCAGTGTGTTGTTAGCATTCGAAAAATGTGCTGCAAATATATAGTGTTTTGCAGATAAGTTTCAATGACAAAAGTGTTTACGGGTTTTGGAAAATATGGTCATTGAATACATTTTGCGTAAAAGCAATGAAAAATGATTCACAGTTTGGTTCAGTTTGGTTGGTAATGACCAAATACATCATCAATCCATCTTCCAAAGCGTGTTTTTGCCTGATTCACTATTATAAGTGTTTATATTTTAGACCAGGTGGAATGGTTTTCACAGGAAATTGTGTACACATGTCACTTGCCCATCCATGCCTTCGTAAATAGAGAAAAGTTGCTCAGGCTACTTTGGATGACTGTAGGATATAAGAGTGCCATAACTTCGATGTCAAAAAGAGCGAGAAAGGTTGACATTTAGCAGCTAAATCTCAAACCTCTAATCACGCGTTTAAAAAATAATAATAATAAAAAAAATCTGAACAGAAGAAAGTCTGTTCAAGTCTGGCAAAAAAAGAATGCGAAACAAGAATCAACATTAGCTTGACTTTTCAGAGATGATGAAAACACGGATTTGAAATGTTGTAATAGATAAGCTGCTTTTGTTACTCAACAGGCGAATGTATTTTATTGAACAGAAAAAAAATGCTGTATGTAGCTCTATATAGACCATTTCACAAGATGTAAACAACACTGGTCCAGAAGCACTTCCTGTTTCCGTTTTCAGTGTAAAGAAAACATCTTAAAGATGTTTGTTTAACTTTTTGATTCAGTTTTAAATGTTCTGTTGGTTGTATTTTATCCCAGCTTTTATGTAGTGTTAAAAAACTGAAACAGGAAGTGCTTCTGGACCAGTGTTGTTTACATCTTGTAAAATGGTCTATAACAGGGTTCATTGTAAAGCATTATTTGTTGTGAAGGATCCATACATTATGAACACACATAGTGTAAAAAAGCACAATAAAAGCAGCCCACATAGCTGTTGTACTTCGTTTATCAGTTTTAGTGGACTTAGGGAATAATTCGGTCTGTAAAGTAAAGGGGCCATGAGGGGGCGACTCGATCCATGTAGATTAATTTCAACAGCCTTTTCTACAAGATGCGTTTGGGTGGAATCTTCTTGTAACCATTTTATTCTTAAAATTTCTCAAAAATGCTTTTTATTTGTATAAAAGTTTTTAGAATAGCAATATCATGTAAAAAAAAAAAAAAGTTAATATGTTTTTGTGCATCTCTCTCTCTCCAGCTCAATAAGAGAAGCCCATCACACAACTGCAAATTTTCTTACCATAAAAGCACGTTTGCAATCTAATCGCTGTGTATACTGTCTAGTATTATAGTATGTACACTTAACACTGTTTGGATGAGGGCATTTTAATACAAAACCTAATTTTCAAGATCACTTACCGGACAGCTCTGACTAAGAAATACAGAACTCCGATGGCCGTGATCCCGATAAGAACATACAGTGCCCGGTTAATCATCGCGCCGTCCAGATCGAAGCCCATTTTCTTGACGCTGCTTGTGGTGTTTTTATCAGACCCATCGGTACTGATGCTGATGTTTGAAGTGCTCTTGAGTACGGGTAATTGTTTTGCAGTGGTAATGGGCTTCTGCCCATTATTCGCGTCGTCGGCATGAGAAACAGCCCACAGCAGCAGAGGCAGAAGAAATAAATGTTTCATAGTAAGTTAGTGTATTTTAAAGGCAACAGAAGATACACACACAAATATGAAGTTCTCTTTTACGACTGAGTCCAGTTCCTCTTCCTGATTTAAGACGTGACGACACAGCACACACGTAACGTGAGTGTTACGGTAAATTGTGTCCTGAGGGGAATCAACAAGGAGACCGCCAGGTTCTTTTGAGAGACCATTACCACGTTCTATTCATAGACCTTTTCATTATTTACAGTGTTCAAATAATTAATAATGTAGTATTTTGATGGACTGTGGTTAATTGTGAGAATTGTTGTTGCCTGAATCATATTCTACGCAAATACGTCAAGTCCGAGTATTTCTACGGCGTTTACGCAAGAGGTTTGAGAAAAAAAAAAAAAAAAACTTTTGCTGATAATTTACTCACCCCCATGTCATCCAAGATATCCATGTCATTCTTTCTTCAGTCGAAAATAAATGAAGGTTTTTGATGAAAACTTTCCAGGATTTTTCTCACGCACATCACAGAACAGAGAAAGGCGACCATTTGAGCTTACAAACTTACCCATTGTTATTTATTTATTTATTTTTAAATGAGCGATTGTTTCACTTGATAAGACCCTTATTCATCGTCTGGGATCATTTAAAGCCCTTTGAAAAGTTTGCACTGAAACTGTCTTTTCGACCTTGAACCGTTTGGTTCCCATTGAAATCCATTATATGGAGAAAAATCCTAGAATGTTTTCATCAAAAAAACTTAATTTCTTTTTGACTGAAGAAAGAACAACATGGATATCTTGGATGACATGGGGGTGAGTAAATTATCAGCAAAAGTTTTTTTTTTTTTTTTTTTAAGTGAACTACTCCTTTAACTTTTCCAAGCTCTTGCATGAGTTTATGTGATCTTCTGTAATGTAGTACCTCGTAAAAGACAAAGTAGCTGTCTATTTGTTGGCCCATGAATGATCGTGGCTACACAGACTGGAGTAAGAAATTTATTGAAGGCAAAAAGTACAACTAGGAATGCCATGAAGAACAAGATAAAGACTGAAAACAGTGTAATCCTGATTTTTACCGTTTTATATTGAACTATATTTTTCCATGATGATGGTCCATAACTGTAATCAAAATATACACGTTTTTAGGTAATATAAAAACCCATAACTTTTAACATTGAGATACAAAAATAGTATTTACACCTCATCTGTCCATTATAAGAAAAGCACTTTATCTAAGGCAGATGTTGTAAAATGAGGGTTTTAAAGTTGTGCAAGGATGCATAATCAGGTTTTATCCAGCCACTGAAAAATAAATGTTTTCAAAAATGCTAAAGCAATTATTTTTTTCTACATCCAAGGAGCATTTGCATTTTTTTAAGCATCGCCTTATTTTTCTTAGATTGGTCCCACACAATTTGTATAACATACAACAAATGGAAAAAAAAAAAAAAACAGACAGAAACTAATGCAAAATTTCAAAATAGTAAAGCAAAATAACTTGATCAATTATGAAACATTGCCAAGAATATAATATAAACAGAGAAGATTACATTTTCTGGTCCGAGTGTCAAATTTGGGCCACCACAATCAAGCCTTTTGTTAAACATCTTCTGAAAGTTAATGCAGCTGGATGTCCCCAGGATAGACTGCTATGAATCAACCAAGACATTTTAAAAAGGCACTTGTCATTTCAAAGACCAAAACTCAAACTTTACAGAGGTCACGGAAGGCCATTGTGTCTGATCTGAGAGTTATGTGATGCACCTTTTATCCAGTTCACTTTAACTGTTTCCATCACAGATCCCACAGTACTGTTCTTTACAAAGAATGGGGAAGCATTAAGCCCCTCAGAGAGGCCACATGCCGTTTACCATGAGGCTACAGGGTGCCCTTGGAAGGTACATGGAGGAAAGGCTTTGGTATCAAGCTGTAGTGTACACACAGGTACATGAATACATAAAATAAATGGGGCATTGAAGTAGAATATCATAAATAATCTACATCACACAATAACATGAAGCCAGACACTGAACATCTACGCAAAGTACAGGACAAACAGTAAACGTACAGCAGTTAATGATCCGCTGACCACAGCCAACATGCAATGGCCCACAGTATAAAAACAATACAAATCTTGAAAATACTATATTCAAAAAAATGATTGCATTAACTTGAAGGAAAAAAAATGACTGTAAACATTCTATGTCTAAAATACAGTATAAATGCTGAAGCGAGAGGATATGATGTCAACAAACCTATTGGGAAATACAGAACACAGAGGCGCAGAGTTTAAGGCCTGTACCATCAGCCTGATGAAACTACCCATGTCTCATAGGAGCATCAATGCTTGGCCCTGAGGCCATGAAATGGACTGTTACCCATAGATTTGCAAACATTGCAGAAGTTTGACTGAGGTTCTAGAAATCTGAAGGCACAAATGGAATCAAAGGCCTGAAGTGGTTTGTCTCTGTTTCTATAGAAATCATTTTACCAGCCTTAACTAGCCTGAAACTAATAGATGGAGTGATACATACAGTTAATTAACTTTTCAGGGGAAACTAATAATACATCTGTTCTAAAAAAATTGACTAAAATAAAAAGTACATCTGTAAATGTCCACTAAAATGCCTCTTAAATAAAATAATGGAATGATGGAAGTGAGCTTTGTGATTAAGACTCATTAAGGTTTACAATGACTGGCCACTCCCACCCATTCTAGAGAATATTTCTCTCAAATGGTGGACTTGGAGAAGGAAACCCTAAGATGGTGATTTTCTCCAAGATCATGGTTGTGGAACTGGATAAGGCACTCGATTGCTTCCTCCACGGAACCCATCTGAATCAGAGCCATCTTGCGATCCTTCCTGAAAGTTGAAGAATTTGTAAGCATTTCTTATGGATAAACTGACAGAGAATTTATGTGCTGAAGATAATAATAATAATTAGATTGTTGCTGCCAAAAACTGCATTTTAACTGAAAATAACCAGGTAGCAAATAATTAAAACCATTCACTATGTACTTAAACTAATACAAACTAAACTAACTAAATAATACATTTTGTATTGCATATAGGTGATCAGTGTGTTCTTACCATTTAACTTGCTGAAGTGTTTTAATTTTAAATAATAGTAATAATAATCATAAAAAGGCAGGAATTATAATGAGAAACGACAAGCCAATGTGTCTAGAAATTGTATTATTCAATAAAGAAACACAATTTAAATATAGAATGTCTGCCTGATAAAATATTTGTAAAAATTAGGGCTAATAACAAGCTTATATTTAATACAGAAGTAATAAAATAATTAAATATTAAAGTAATTTTAATTGATAGGCTACTGCATGCAACAGCTGCAAAGACTTACTGAAAGAACTTGAAGTTCTTGACGAGACCACCACTGCTACCAAAGAGCATCTTCAGGTCATCTTCAACAACGGCGGGTCTAAAACACAGAAACAAAGTTACAGATGAGATCTGGTTTTTAAATTCATATAAAAAACAAGAAGCTGATAAACTCACGGGATGTTAGACAGGTGCAGGGTAGATGAGGGAGGGAAGATGTTGGAGTAGTTTTTGGAGCCTGGCTTCTTGAAGCGATGGAGAGGAGAGTTGCTGTAGTCTTTGGTGAGACCCTGGTCTTCATGACCCTCCCGTGGCATCTGGACAGTCGTGTGTTTGGACAGTGTTATGCGCAGGGGTCTGCCGTATAACTTCTGTCCACTTAGATGGCTCATTGCTGAAATATAAAAGTGTACAATGTATACACTAAAATTGAAAACTAACAAAATATACAGAGGGTGTATCATTCTGACCCTAGTTAGCCATGATGTGAACCAGTATACTGCAAAAAACAATTTTAGCACTACCATAACATTTTTGGATTCTTGACGAATGAGAATGGAGCTGCCGTTTCAGTTTCAGTTTCAGTTTCACTTTCAATAAATTAATTTTGGCTTGACATTTGTATGTTAAAGAATGCCACTATAGCCTAATTTGTGTTCTGTTATATATAATTTATAGCTAGCCTACTTATTTGTCATTGTTAGTTCTGAATACCATTACATTTAAAGGATTTTTTTATGGAGTGAGGGGACAATAGTGCTTATAATGTTTTGTTTTATTTACAGATATTTAATATATAAATTAATGTAATTGCTTGCAATTATGAGGTTAACAGGTGTTTTTGGAGTAAGATCAATTTCTCTTTCATGTGATTACTTGCTCTTCTTGGCCAGGATGTGTTTCTCTATAGGGCAAGGCTCCTTAACTGTATTAAGGCAAGTGATATTTAAAGTTATATCTGGGCACTGTGGATAGACGGTGTGTATACGGTCATAGAAAACAATGTGTTTGAATTTTAAAGATGTGGCACTGCACAGCTCCTTTTAGGGCAAGGGCTCTGATAGTAATGCCATGCAAAGCGATATGACATTTATTTGTAACACGCCAAATTGGCTCATGTTTTATGCGTTACTCATTACCTGCATTTGGTGGGCATTCATTTTAAACCATGTGAATATTATATGTATGCATGTATTATAAAAATAGTCTGCTCCTTCTCTACGCAAAAAACCCATAATATTAAGAGAGTTTACCGAGTTGGGCCTGTGTCCCATCAGACATCTGTATGAGAGCGTTCTCCTTTTTGTTGAACATGATTTTTACTCTCATTACATCCCCATATACACCTACAAAAAGACAGGATCATGTCACATACAAATATGCAATTAGTTATGATCAGACACACCTTTATCAAAACCAGTCTGAGCTATAAAACAACTTTAGTTCACAATCAAGATACTCCAATATATCACACCATCACATGCTTTTCAGGGTACAAAAAAAAATGTATATATATATATAAAATGACTAGCGTATAATAGCAATTTTATCAGGGCTTTAAGTGAAAAAGGACAAAGTAACTTATTATTCTTAGTTAAGAAAAAAAAAATATTTAAGAGTAGAGTAGTGGATCTGCAAATCTTCGATCTCATGAGGAACAGATTTAAACTGACCGATTGAGATAAGAATCGTTCAAGACTTGAAAGATAAAAAAGTTTTGAGGGAGATGAAAATGCTTTCTAACCCAAAAAAGAATGAACATATAAAACAGCAGGAGTCTTGACTATTAAACCAAGTATTTTAAACAGCTTTTCTCCAAAAGACATGCAATAAAAAAGGTGAAACGAACAGTTTTCAAAAGCATGCAACATTTTTACAAGAAGCCAATTTGCTTTGTTCCGTCATAAAAAGCGGCAGCCTCCCGTCAGCATTCAAAGGAAGTGCTGTCGTTTCGGGAAAGCTGCAGCTTTTCATGACGCGTCTCATCTCACCACACCAAATACTGCAGAAAACAAGCGAGGCACTCAAAGAATTGGGCCTCACATATTCCTTGTGAGGAAATAAAACCAAATTAAAAGAACAGAATAAATGAGTGACAAAAAAAGATGCTAAAGGATGACATACCGAAGAGAATAAAGAGGCAGTGGGGCGTAACTCTCTTTAAAGGACAGCAGAGGGGGGCAGCGGAGGAGGAAGAGACAGGTAAAGATCGGAGGCAGAGTGGAGGTTCAACATATCCGAGGCAGCGAGGCAGTTCCACAGGAAATGGCGAAAAACGATGGTTGGATCATGAAGATGGTTAATGGTTTGGGAACAGAGAGAGGGGTGGGAGTGGGGGGGGAGGGGGATAGAAGAGAAAGAAATGTTTGTGTGTTTGAAGTCATGTTGGTGTGTGTGTGTGTGTGATTGTGGGATGATGTGGAATTGTTCGTACAGATCAGATGAGTAGAGAGACATATGGTGCGTGCAGCCAGATGGCAAAGGAGAACGATGTTTCAAAAACAAAAAAAGAGCAATGGGATGAGGGGAACGGGGAGGGAGAGAAATAGGAGAAAAAAAAAGGAGGTAAAAAAACAAGGTCAGTATACATAAAGAAATACAAAATATAGTGCTAAATTTAACAAAGAAACTTTACCAGCAAAACATGCTAATCTTTAGAAATTAGTTACTGTAGTAAACAATGTGCTTCTTTGATACATGTGTAAATGCACTTTCCAATGGTCTGTTTAACAAAACAGTACAAATGAATTTCAGAGAACAGACCAACAGAAAATACAATTTCACAATTTTACTGTTGTATAATATTTGGAGGAGATGAGTGGAATATGAAATAAAGCAGCAACATATTCAAATGGAAGCAACAAGAAGAATGGATTTTTTTAACACAAAACCTGAGGATGTTAGAGGAAGAAATGACAATGCATTATAGAAGGGGTGAGGACACTTGAGCGAATAAAGGGCAGAGCTTCGGTTAATGGAAACACTAAACAACAGGCTTTATGCCCTGGCCTGTACACTACACTAACTGAGCGACAATAGATCATAAACGCACTAAAATTAAAGAAACATTCAGCAGTAGTAACAACATCCACTGTACCGTTAATTTAATTCAGTTAATACAGTGAAAAGGTTACATGCCATTGTTTTAATTGAAATATACCAATATTTGTATTAAAAAATATTTGGGGTGTGACCATTCACTTGATGAGACGATATATGATATTGTTTTCACAAGAACGAGACAAGACTATATTATCACGCTGTTTTTAAGAAAATTTCAATGATGAAATTATGACTATTAAAAATAGTGTTTCATTCACCAAAATACAAATACTAGGTGCATTTTGAAATGTCTTTACTTATGTTGTAATGAATGGTGTACATCCATTAATCATCATATGATGGCAGAACAATGACAAACTCAACTCCGTCATGCTGATTTCACAAGACAGCTTTTCACATCAACGAGAAATAGTGTCTCGGTTTAATACTGCGAGATCTCGTCACACCCTTACAAGACATAATATATATTTTTTAAAAGGTGGCCATGTAGTAACTATGTGACCATTGTTTTACCATTATTTTCACATTATAACATACAAAAAAAAAAATCACATTTTGTTTTAAAATAAAAATGTACCATCACTGAACTATATGAATGACAGGATTGCTCATGACATCATAAAATGTGAAGCCACCACACATTGTTTAGAATGAATAGAAAATCATCTGCTTTTAATGGAAAGCATTACCTAACAAGTCAGTTTTTATATCTGAAGTCTTCCTGTACATTCTCACAATGCAAACGTACAAAACATTTAAATGGTTATTTCATTTATTCTACTTATTAAAAATTATGCTGATCTTCATTTTAGTATCGAAAATCAGATCAGCTGACAGACAAGACACCTCAACATTTGTATTACAAATGTCAAAATAATTCTTCAGAAATCTGAATTAGAGCTGCACGCTGCGATTCCGGCAAAATTTCAAACGCTGCAGTCTAAGTAAATTTTTGAACGAATCGTTTGAATGATTCAATGACAAACACATTTTTAACAGTCACTTTTTGCCTCTTGGTGGCATAATGCAATCGATGCAATCATTATTTAAAGCGTCAAAAAGTGATTTGCTCTATTTCGATCGCTTCTGTAGACAGTGTTTATATCTGAATATTCCACAATCTTATAACGATCAATCATGCAACTCTAATCTGAATACAGCTTTATGCTTGACATGCACATACAACTTAAAGGAGTAGTTCACTTTTAAATAAACTTTTGCTGATAATTTACTCACCCCCATGTAATCCAAGATGTCCATGTCTTTCTTTCTTCAGTCGAACAGATCTTAAGGTTTTTGATGAAAACATTCCAGGATTTTTCTCCATATAATGCACTTCACTGGGAACCAAATGGTTCAAGGTCCAAAAGACACTTTCACTCCAAACTGCAAACTGTTCAAAGGGCTTTCTTTATTCATTCGTTGAATCAACCAACTGACTCGGAAAAAGATTTGTTCATTTTGATGAACGAGTTCGAACAGGAGAGTCACAAACGTGCGTCACGGAAAAAAGCAAGGCGAGCATTTGAGCTTATAAAACTTAAACTTTGTTATTTATTTATTAAATGAGCGATTGATATTCACTTGATAAGACTCTTATTCATCATCTGGAAACATTTAAAGCCCTTTGAACAGTTTGCACTGAAAGTGTCTTTTGGACATTGAACTGTTTGGTTCCCAGTGAAGTGCATTATATGGAGAAAAATGCAGGAATGTTTTCATCAAAAACCTTAATTTCTTTTCGACTGAAGAAAGAATGACATGGATATCTTGGATGACATGGGGGTGAGTAAATTTTTAGCAAAAGATTTTTTTAAAGTGAACTCCTTTAATTTGGCATGTACACAGACAACTTTAATGTGGTTATGTAATTTTATTCATACAACTAACATTTTCAACAGTGTTTTCATTTAAAAAAAATCTAAAAAATTTTTTTTTTACATTAATATTTAGCTCAACATTATATACAAATAAAACTTGAAGCACACTGGTGAAGCTGGGATTTTAATACAATTATAGTGCAATCTTGAATTAGGGTAATGTGTTGTATTGTAACATTTATTGTACATTCCAAATCAATTTCTGCTAATATTCCCAGATAAATGTTCATGCTTATGCTTAAAGCTGTGTGTAACTATTTTTAGGGGAAGCCCTGAAAGGGCGAAGGCCCTATTGTTTTTGTTAGGATTATTTTTTTCTATTATTATTTTTTTTTTCTTAAGAATATTCGGGCACTTTTGGGGCCCTTAACATGCTCGAAAACTCTTGAAACTTTGCACACGGGTCAGAACCGAGTCATACGTAGTGCTATACTGCCCTCTTGTGTTCAATATCAGGTAGGCCTATTGTGTATATTCCCACCGGTTAATCAACGTGTGACTCCGCTGGGACTCGGGAGCTTTTAAATCGCTTATAATGTGTATAAAATATAATGTGCTCATTAATGTATATTTACTTTGTTCAATTAATAAAGTATTCTCGTGAGTGTATAATATGCCATTGAAAATACATACGGGTAAGGGGTTCTAATGTCGGTCGGCATGTTGCCCCTCCATCTTGAAAGTACATTAGCCAAAGAGACACATACCCGTTAATTCAAGCTTCGCCTTTCGCGTTTACGTTTGAGTTAACACTCATGGACGAGGTCGAACTGGAAGCCATGTTAATCTTGGACTACATTGGCCACCGTAGGAGTTAAAACGAAATCGGAATTGAGAGGAAAAGAAACTAGTTTTCATTGGATGGTCATATACCTTTTCACCGCAAGATGGGGGTAAAAATCACACAGTGTAGCTTTAATATTTCCTGCATAATTACGTATGTAATGAAATCTATTTTGTGTTAGGTGAGTTCCCTGTGTCGGCAGTGTGCAGTACACCCATCTTAAAGATTTCTATGTATCGCTTATCCTGCCGAAAAGACCATAAACATTACAGATAACATCTAAGGTACCAATTAATTTACACAGATATATCCTAAAAACGAATCCTTCACCACCTGACGGCAGTTTAGAACACAATGAGCAATCCAGACAATTATACAGACCAGTGATGTATAACAGGACCAGGTTTTTGCTGACGTACCATTTAAATTATGACTATTTATTCTATTATATATTACATTTCGTTTAAAATGAATGTTCCACTAAGCTTTTGCTGTAATGCCATTATGATTGTTTTAATTTAATTGATTAATATTTATGCATTACAATATTTGAAATATAAAATTAAATGTAAAAAAATAATAATAACAATGAAAGTGTTCTGCTGTTTTTGGAGAGATATTTTAGCATTGTGACAGCTTTACAAATAATGCATTTCTCATTCATTATAAAATTAAATATGAGAGAAAATCAAATTTAAGGCTCATTAGGAACAGTAAGCTACGGCACAATAAAAGTCCCTGAGCTTGCTCGAAGACCTGACATTTAAATAGACATTTTGAGCACGTCCAGATCCATGAGATACTACGAACTACTAACCTCTGGGTTCAGGTTGCTGACCAGCATGACGCAGTGGGTTCCAGGGAGGGAGGGGAAGCCCATTCTGCTTGCAGCCGCAGCGGCCGCTGCTGCCCCAGGCATGGCCAGTGAGGCCAGGGCTCCATGAACCCCAGGTATTGTCAACCCTGATCAAGACAGTCTCAATTTACGTGACAAATCACAACACATAATAATTTGGAAAATATAAAATGGAGAAGGCTTTAGACTCAAGCTGTGTGCCGTCATACCTGCAGCCTGCTGTATAGCAAAATGCGGAGGGAAGGCGTGTGCTCCCGCATATGGTGAGGCAGAGATGATCCCGGGAGTAGCTGCAAAATATGAGAACTTTTAGAAATTTCGAAAAGAGGCAGAAAGGAACTGTGTTTAAGAAGAGCGTGTGCTGGGCATTTGTACCGAAAGCAGCCATATGGTGATGTTCAAGAGTAGGCTGGCTGTCCCCAGTAGGCAGGTCGGGGCGAGTGTAGTCACGGCTCTTGTCGTTATTGTATTTGACATTTAAGCTGGTAAGTTTGGAAAAGCTAATGCGCAGGGTACAGCAGCCATTGTAGATGTTCTGGCCATCTAGAGCCTGAGGAAAGAGATTTAAGTCAAAACTATGCCACAAACATCCTGCCAAAATCTAGACTTTCAAATTCTTTCACAGTATGTGAGCTGGCATAAAACCAAGTTTTAATATTTGTCATTACATAAGATGGCTGATAGATGGCACCACTCACCAGCTTGGCATGTTGTGCTGTCAGGCCATCAGCAAACTGGAGTAGAGCTTGAAACTGATTGTTTTTGGTGAATGTGATCACTTTCAGCACTGTGCCAAACTTGGAGAAGATCTGTTTAGGACCCGAAGAGATTTTAGTATCTATCAAACAATCACAACTGCCAACAGTTCATTCAGAAAAGATTTAAGTCAGAAAGTCAATTTCAGAGTACTAGACTACAGGAAGTGTATACCTGGTGCAGGACATCTAAGGTCACGGTGTAGAATAGACTAGAGGAAGTGTATACCTGGTGAAGGACATCTAAGGTCACAGGGTAGAATAGGTTTTCAACGATGACTCTCAGGACGGGGCTGGGGCCAGTCATACCGGATGGGTCAACAGCACCTAGAGTCATGCTACCTGTCTGGACAGCATTTACTGCCTGCAGTGCTGCCTGTGCCCTCTGTAGACACCAAACAATGGCAAAGATTAAATGAAATTTCAATAAGGTTTAAAAGAAAAGAAAATCGAAAAGAAGTCAATTTATAGATGGCTTATTCTGAACAAATCGAGTATGGAGTAAACACTGTTAGTAGGTCAAACAGAAAAAGCAAAACAAATTAAGCTATCGTCCAAATGAGCGCTGATGGGCTGCAGCTGTGGAATTCACTGCTAAAGCCTTTAGCGGCATATAAACTGTGTTTAGAAAAGGGAAACGGGCAGTGTGGAAAATGCGGGGGAAAAAACAAGGAGCGTAGAAGACAGCAAACCAGGCCCTCTGCTTGTATCAATCATCAAGCAAACATCAGCTGCAAATACATTTTAATTATAAATGTATACGTTTTCAAATGATCGACTATGTAGAAAAGTGGAATGAAGCTTCCCAAAGCCTGCGGACGTAACAAAAAAAAAAAAACAAAAAAAAAAAGGATTTTGAAGCACATACCACTTGGTTTGGTGAGTTGTCTGTTTTCAGCTCTTTGTGGTTGGAGTATTGCATGAAGATGGGATGATTTCTGATGACGGGTGTTACGGAGGAGTAGTAAGTAACCATTGTCTGTGCTGCTTCTTCAGTATTCATTTCCAAGAAAGCCTGCACAATAATGCAATCATGCATTTTCCTTTAAGTCCGAAAAATGCTCTATGCAAGCACATGAATGCAAAAACTTCTAGCAAAACAAGCTAAATGTCACATACACTACTTTTCAAAAGTTTGAGGGCGGCAAGGTTCTTTTGATTAAATATATAGTAAAACAGTAATATTGTGAAATTCAATATTTTTGGAGAAACAAGATACTTTTTTTAGGCTTCTTTGATAAATAGAAAGTTCACTAGAACAACAATTACTTGAAATAGAAATCGTTGGTAATCTATATGCCTTGGCCACATCCTTGCTGAATTCTATTATATTTAATTAATTTGTCAAGATTCTCAACAATACACTCACAAACAATTCCTAGTAATTAAGTCTGATGTTAACATTGCTAATGCTTAATATGCGAAACAAACAAATCTAGAAAACACTAGTATTGGTGACGGCACTAATACTAATCTAAGAAGAGATTATTTACTGCATAAATGAAAAATCCACATTTTTTAGGAGACAAGCTTTGGTCGAGTCAACCTTTTATGCTACTCTGAGCTAATGCTAAGAATGTCATAACAGGAGAGGCAATAGTACCTGGTTCTTTCCCTTTAGCATGAGCAGATTGGTGACTTTGCCAAACGGAAGGCCGAGGGAGATGACCTCTGCTTCGTTGATGTCATTGGGAAGCTTCCGGACATGTATAACTCTGGACGGGGCGGCAGGACTTCTGATTTCACCTTTGAACTTCTTGCTGTCGTTGCCGTTGGCTACATTGAGAGCAGATGATCAGCATGGAATGCTGGGACAACACATCTGAGAAAGAAACAATAAAAGTATAGAGCATAAAAATACTACCTGCTGAGCTCATGATATAAGGCCCACTGGAAACACAGGAGAACAGCTCGTCAGATCCTCTCTGAAAGAAAAAGAAAAAAACTTATCATTTGTATGAGGTTTAGACAGTTTAGGTCAGTTCTGAGGTTTACAAACTTATAAACAGGACACTTGAAGGAAAGAGGAAGAACATAATGATAGATGAACCCAGCCTTAGCCTGAATGGTAACAAGAAGTAGTAAAGGAAACAATGATAGTGGGATGTCCAAAAAAGGACAAGTTTACATCAGAAACTCTGAACGCAGGAAATGGGCAATGCTACATTCAGCCTTCCCGTACAAAAAGCAGAGCCTTAAGGGCGGGCGGGGTCAGAGATCAACCACAAGACATCCCCCACTACAAACCTATGAAGAAGATCTCTGTAGTAGACTATGGGGAGAGGGGGTGGTTTTACATTTCCAGGTCGTCGACCAAGAGGAACGCCTGTCCAGCCCAGACTGAATTTTGCATTTGCTCCATCACAATTTTCTTTGTTAAAGAAGGACAGAACAAGTCTAAGACCTCTTAACCTCTGCGCTTGGTATCAAACAGCCCATTTCCAACACATTCTAAGCCAAGATTTAATACACATGACTTAAGACATGCGATTAACACTAGCAATAAATCACAGTTCTGCAAATAACGGTCTTTGTCCCGTTTAATTCGGACAATTGAAAGCAAATGTTTGTTCTGGTTGTCCATTATCCGTGTGCAGACATTTGAGACAAAGAAAGTAACAGTATTTTGGATGAAATATACTATAGTCTGATTGTCCAATCACAGCGCATGACTAAAGAAAGAGAGTGATATATGTGTATTCAGCAGAAACTACTAAGCCCATGTAACCGCACAGGCCTGCCCACCACATATTAAAATTCCACAGTCAAACGACTCAATGAGAACCACATGTAACCCAGAGGGGGGTGGCTACACAAAATACATCTGCTATGACACACTAAGCTAAAAAAAACAAAACAAAAGGTTAAATAGTTACTGAAAAACACGCTAATCTTTACACTTTTACAGAAACCTTCTTTATAGCTCTATTCAGTTGCTTGTTACCCTGGCCTAAACCATTCCGGTTTCTAGCAAAACGAACAATGAACTTACAACATGCTTGCAACACTTAACAATAAAGCACTGCGTGTTTGCGTTAATTATTTCTGAAAGGGATTTCTAAATTGTCCTTTTAGAAGTAGAACTACTATTCATTCAAATTCACTTCTAGTTTTGGGTTAAGGACAGCGTTTTATGGAGTTTGCTTTGCTCCACGTAGCCGGTACGTTGTGAATTGTCTCATTTTAAATGTATATTATTTACCCTGTTTTTATTTTACTTCCCCTTGTTGTCATCGAACACTTACTTAAAATTGCTCTTAAAAACAGTAGCAACACAGTTGACCGTGATCTTTATAAAAATTACAAAAACATAAAATTGGATGTTCCCACAACTTCCCTCATTTTAATTAAATCCATATTAAGTCCATATTGTACTAAAATGAACCACTTTCAGTGGTTTCTATTACATAGCTACACCGTTAACTTGAGCTGAATCCAGAACATTCCTTCAAAGCTTCTAGATGCTGTCAGATAGTACTATCTCTGTGCATTCAATGAAGTTAATTAAGCATGACAAACAAACATTCGATGTGTTAACTTTTTGTTGGGTGTGCCATGATGGGATACTTGCTTTAGATTAGGGGGTGTGAATGACGGGGGGAGGGGCGAAGAAGACAGCAACAATTCACAAGAACAAAAAACGGGCCGTTACCACGGCTCCGATTGTAATGCGCTCACCATGGAAACCTAGTGCTGCAGGTAACTGAAACCCAACCCAGAACTGAATACACAAGACCCATTATCTCCATTCGCCCAGGTGTGCCTTCTAACTTGAGCCATTTCCTACACTAACCATACAGGTTATAAGCACAGTTCCAGACCTTTTTACATTGGAAAGTGCAATTGTAGCAACGGCCAATCAGAAATTGTCCCTGTGGAGAGTCGATACACATTGCACTGCACTTTTTTTGACAGATAAATACCAGGTTGTGCACACAGAGACCATAAAAACAACATCACGATTTTAGCGAGTTAAAACATGCTGAGAGTATTGTGGATTGCTAGCTCGCTGTAATCAGCACCTGTGACCCACAAGCTTTCAACTTGCATTCTTTATGAGATACCGAGAACAAGAGAGACTGATAGCATCAAGCGAACCCCCATGTGACCCATTAGCACCTCCCCCAGCCATCTTTCCTCTGATCAGCCCTGCTGAACAAACACAAGAGCTACATGTGTGTGCTGAGTGATGAGGCAAACATATTTGCATTTGATGAATAGACTGCATTCATCTCATCATATCAACAGCCAAAACCAATCTCCGAGGAATGTCTCTGAAATGGGTTCAATCATTAGGCCGAGGTAAAAACCTCAATAAAATGCTTGCCACCTGTGTTCGCGAAGACAAATACAGTCATCTGAAGACCATCTAAACAACAAGAACATTCAACGATCAATTTAAAAACATTAAATTACAATTGATCATATACTTTTCTTAATGAATGTCTTTGACCTTATTGTGCATAAATTTAATGCATTTTAAATAAAGAAAACCTGTTTTGTGCTGACACCAAAGGTTTTGTGGGTAATGGGTATAGAAAAATAAAGTCAAACAATAATATGGGCCGGTGTTCATGATAAACATCAAGTTTCTCCCTACATAATTTCCTACTGTATAATTGGTTTCTGCAGTTTACTTTAGCCCATAGCTTGTTCCCAGTTAATATTGACAGTTTTACAGATTCGATGGTCTTATTTTTTAGTGAATGATTGGTGTATGCTATTCCACCATTTAAATACTTTCCTAGTCTGATGACATCACTTAGACCACATTAATGCTAACCAATAGCCAAATAGCAATTTAGAATAGCCACTTGCATTCAACCTAGCTCAATTCTTGTTATCTAATTGTCAATCAAATTAGTTTACAATTAATAAAATCGAGCCCTATTTTACACTTTTTTCCCAATATCCTGTTTCATCCAGAAATGTCACATTACAGAAGTAAAACGGCTTCCGAATGAGGTTTCACATTGACCAAGACCAAGTAACTTTTCCTCTGCGGTCACCCTACAGGTTGGAAGCAGAATTGTCCATTACCGCTGTTGTAAATAATTTAGCCTACAGCAGCATACGGTCGCATTTACGCTCGTTGCTTAGCTAGCACCGGTTTTGGAATGCATGGTAGCAGTAGAGTATGTTGCATGATTTCATGAAAGTATGATGTATTGCAACATCAGAAACGAAGAACTAAATAAATAATGACTACTGTAACGCTTGACGTAAAGCAAGTCAAATTTGTAGTTTTCTTACATATCATTGGAACTACAGAAATGCGACCTGATCTGGCAATCTTACATAGTGTGGTTATAGCAGATATAGGACCCCAAAGCGGTTACGACTTAATGAACCACTGAAACGATTTTGGAAACATTATTTTAAGGTAAAGAAATCTTACTTAGTGTTGCTTTAAATGTTGTAAATTATTTTTTATTATTATTTATAAGTTTTTATTATAATTTAAGACAAACCATGAGCAAATTTACAAGTCAATACCATAGCTAGTATATTCTCTTCAAAACTGCACTCAACCAAAGACTCTCATAAGACTTTCTTTTTTTTAAGGAATAAAAGTTGAAATATGTAATTTCAAAGATGAGTTTTGAGGAATAAAATTGACTACAGGGGGATTTAACATTTAGGGTAATTGATCGGAACATGATGAGACATAATGCCCTTACAATTATTTTAACTCAAAAACTAGGAAACATCTCATATAATTTCAGAACCAACTTTTGCAATTATCAAAACACTCTTAAAACAGTGCCTACCCCTATACCATAGTAATCCTCAGATAAATACAGTGCCGGTACATTTTAATGCGACATAAGTTACTGCATGACCTGAAGCGTGTAAGTAACTAACCTAAATGAACCTCATGAATCAGCCTTTGTTTCACATCCTGTAGGCCCCTCCTCACTAGCCACATACCACAGGAAATAATCTTTAATGAGAAAATGAGCGGGGGAGTGTTCATGTTGTTGCCTCGTAAAGGCTGATCCAGGCAGCAAGTTTGGGATTTCTTAACAACGCATTTCACAATAATCAAATATTATGACAAATGATCCAGCATTCATTTTTTAAAGTTAAATGATAAATCTGCTTTCATAGAAAGTTGAGAAAGCACAAAGTGGAATGGCCCAATGCCACAGTGCTTGTTCTAACAAATCTTTTTTGCTTCAAAATGATTCACCTTCTTGACAGAGTGATAGCACAAGGTGTGGAAGTCACAAAGGCCATGTGGGAGTCATGGCACACACACAGGATGATGAAGTGAAAAAATCTGTTCTTATTGAACCAATTCAAGCTGTATAGCAAGTGTCATCTACCATTGTGACCCGGGCCGAAGGACCAAATATAAAATTCTTACCTTTGTGCCAACTGCAATATCGTGAACAAGGCTGTAAAAGAAAAGAGAAACGAAAGGGAAAAAAATCAGATCAGGAAAACAGAAGCAACATTAGAAAAGAACAGAGGAACCATTCTGACCCCATGCATTTGTATTAAGTCCCAATGAAACAAAAGGTACAGAAAAAAAAATGTTTTATGCACAGGACAGTATGTCTAATGTGTAATTTTCAGAATGCATCCCATTTCTGCAAGCCAAAAGGTGAAATTAAAATCCTCAACCAAAATAAGAAATGTGATTCATATTTAAGTGGGTCTAATGAGTCTAATATTTCATTTGGTTCATGTTGGTCAGATGTTTTTCCCATTAAAGGAATAAGCAGATTGTGAATAGACTGTGTAATCTAGTTCCTTCCCACAGATCTCCCTTAGAGCAAGAAAAATGAGTGGTATTTTGGGTCAGTCTATGGTTGAAGATTAACCCCCACATCCTGTTTCACATGAACTCGAATAGTAAACGCAATACCAGAATCTCCCCTTTGGATCAGGTCTTCAAAAAGTCCTCATATCTACAAAGCACAGCTTTAAGGCTTTTATGTTTGAAACAATGAATCGAAAAAGAAATAGACTGTGCCAAACAAATACGGATACCTCTTTCCCAAGAGGGAAAAACATTTATGCAAATGAGAGCTCAAACAAGAGGGGCCTGATGACTGGGGTCATTTTTTTCACAATAGCCTACCTGGGGTGTGGTTTTAGTTTCTGTGTATCATCTTACATGGTACATGTGCAGTGTGTCTGTCTGGTTCATCCAGGTCTATCAGACTCATTTACCATAGGAACCACAATTTCTTCCACATTACAGTAGTTACAACAGTAATTGTTCCTGCTATGTGGCATTAACCACCACTAGGTTACTATTCAACAAATGGAGTTTCTTGTTCCAACAAAGATTATGAAATGAGTCTCAGAAAATGTTGATTACAAACCTCAAGAAGTTGAACTAAATTTTCTATACACTATATTGTGGTTGCTTTTTAACCCAGTTTAAAACTATTTTTTTTGCACTGTTCAAAAAATAAACAAAAAGCAAATAAAAATAAAAAAAATAGTCAACTGGGAATTTAAAATGGCAAAGTAACTTGTTTTGTGGAATCTGGCAACTATGGAGCATTTTGTAAAAGAAACCCTGTGGGCACACTGATATTCCTCTAATAAAACTACTTAATAAAAATGCAATCTCTGGGAGGCAAAAATAAATAAATAAAATAAACACCAATTCTGAGCTATAATATTTCAGGTTGACTTACTCTAATTCTGCGTAACTTGATCCCATAGGATACAATTCAGTCTCTAGGCGGCTGCACAGGGAAAAAGATGTCAATGCCATCACACAATCTAACTAATCAAGTTACACTTACTCACGTTACTAATCATTTTCTGGTTAGAAAGAATAACTTTTAATGCCTGCTTTCCCCATTAAAGCGTTTTAAAGAATGTTATGGTTTACTTTTAACTTAAACTTTTATAACTGCATTCGATGCAACAAGTCCTCTCGGTGGAAATAGAAATGTTTTTGCAGAAAACAAACTCAATTAGGCTGCAAACAATGATAGTTTATAAAAAAAAATAAAACAGGCAAACCAGGGGGAAAAAGCTAAATGTGCCAAACAAAATAGCGAGCATCATGCAGAAGCCTGGCGTACGGAAACCTACGGGTTTGTTTAATCGAAACTGGTGATGATAAGAGCGCTCGCGGTGTCCAAAAAATATATATAGTCTACATTACAGTTGATACACGTAAGGCTATACCAGTGCAATGTTTAACATCAGGCAGGTCCAACTTATTTTCCATTCATAACAACGTAGCATCACTTACCCGTCCATTGCATACAGAAGAACAGCAGCTCTGATCCGCAACTTTGTTGCTTGGCTGAGTTTTCTTAAAGCGCTACAAAATGGCGGAGTGCGTTGAGTGAAGCCTCAGCGATGAGCTTGGTGATTGGCCAACTCTAGTAAATAGTGGGAGTATAAGACACGAGGAGGATTGTGATTGGATAAGACGAGTTGAAAGCAAAGGGCGGTTACAGTTGAGGAAGGAGAAATTGCGTGTCGTGCATCCTAGTATTGTTCTGACTGCGTGTTTGAATAATGAAGTAGCCTATTCACTAATGGAATAAGTTTTATTTTATTCAATAAACGGGTCAACCTGTTATTTTGCCAGCGTAATAGTAACCTTACTAGATACAATTGATTATGTCTTTAGTGATATCAATTATTTTAACATAATAGAATACACGTGATCACTCTTGTACACAGTTTTTAATAATTCTAAACAGCCAATGGTAGACTGGACACAACAGTAGACTGAAAGCTAATATAAACGGTTACATGAATATTTAAGTTTTCAACTGCAGTCTTATACTAGGTTCCAGCATCACATTTACTGGCCAAAGTAGGACTATGAAGAAGGGTCTAGTCTCTTTTAGATAAAACACTGTAACTGGCCTTTGATCAGTCACACCGTCTTATGAACAGAATCTTATTTAGTTGGATTGCTGTCAGTTAGATTTAAGCGCCTCAGATATCAAATGCTCCATGATCTCATTGATGTCTCAGAGCCTCTGCAGTGAATCTTTTGCGACCACCTGGCTGAGGGGTCTTTGTTATTTCCCTCTTTTCACAGACCAACATGAACATAAAACAAGCTGATAAAAACAGTTTTGGTTTGATGGAACCATCTTGTATTCAAGGAAATGTAAAAGCCCTACATTAAAAAAAATCTTGGTGATTTCACTTCTGATCTAAAATAAAAGTTTAAATTTGACCTGCAAAATGGTTTACAAGCTTTAAATGTCGTGTCCAGAAGGACTATGGGACAAAAAGAGCTGTGGCTGGCATCAAGTATCATCATCAATAATTACCTGTTTGTCACACTCAGGAAATTACTTTTCCCCCTGTGCCGAAGGAGACGCACCTGCTTAAAGGTAAATAATAGATGGGGGTCTGCAACAGAAACTGAGACTCATTGTCTCCATGGTAGCTAAATGAATCATCATATGATCTGGACAGGTAAAAAATAGGCCAGAGCAGAGGCCTAACATTTGGTAAGGCCTTTACATTACAGTGGTGTACAAGAGAAGCTTTATATTTATAGAAACATGTATTTATATTTACATGTTTACAGAAAAGTTAAAGGAGTAGTTCACTTTTGAAAAAAAAAAAAACTTTTGCTGATAATTTACTCCCCCCCATGTCATCCAAGATATCCATGTCATTCTTTCTTCAGTCGAAAAGAAATTAAGGTTTTTGATGAAAACATTCCAGGATTTTCCTCCATATAATGGACTTCAATGGGAACCAAATGGTTCAAGGTCCAAAAGACATTTTCAGTGCAAACAAAGGGCTTTAAACGATTTCAGACGATGAATAAGGGTCTTATCAAGCGAACAATCACTCAACAAGTTTCTAATCTGATTTCTAACAAAGTTAAACTCATTTCTAACAAAGTTTAAGTTTTATAAGCACAAATGGTCGCCTTGCTCTGTTAGGGTTAGGGTGTGATGCGCGCAACCATTTGAGCTTATAAAAATTAAACTTTGTTAATTTTTTTTTTTTAAATGAGTAATCATTCCGCTTGATAAAACCCTTATTCATTTTTATCCTTATTCACTTATTATTTTTTTTTAAAGTGAACTACTCCTTTAAAGTGATAGTTGACCCAGAGTTGAAAAGTCAGTTGGTGGGCCACATTTACTTCCATATTATTTAAATTTTTTTTTGTCCATACTTTGGAAGTCAATGTGGTCCCATAAACATTTTGGTAACCCATTTTCTTCAAAATGTATTTATTTATATTAACATATTTACATTACAGTGGTGTACAGGACACACATTAAAGTTATTTACATCGATGAAGTGTTTCTGTAAACATAAATAACTTTATAGCTTTTCCTGTAAACATGTACATATACAAATACCTTTGATACCATGTCTTTGTATTTAATTTATTTATATTAACATGTTTCCATTTCAGTGGTGTAAAGGAAATTCATTATAATGTTATTTATAGGTTTTAAGAAACATTGCATAAAAGTTATATATGTTGCATTTACATTGTTTCTGTAAAAATGCTTTTTATCCAGTTTAACAATTTTATACAGCTTTTCCGTACACCACTGTAAAGGTGTAAATAACCATGACACTGTGTTTCTATATTTACGTTATTTGTACATGTTTACATTATAGTGATGTGCCGGTACAGGAAAGGCTTTACAAGGCTATTCATACGGTTACAGAAACACTGTAAATTTATTAATATTAACACGTTACATTATAATTTTTTTTACTTGCCACTGTTTAGTCGTTTAGGTTTAACATTATGAAAATTATTTATTTACATGCTTACAGAAACACTGTATCAGATTTATATATATATTTACATGTTTAAACTTTACATTTATCTACACAGTTCCATTAATCCGTTGATCTAAACCCCAACACCAAGTGTCTAGTCTTTAATCTTTGTATTTTAATCTAGTCTTTAGTCTTTAATCCTTTGCCCATGCTTGTAACAAAGGGCCATTCTGGTAGTTTGTAAGGAGGCAAGCAACAGTGTGTAGCTGGTTGATGGTCCTGATGTTGGAGAGAGGGATGACTGTACGATCAAACAGCTGGTGTTGCCTCACTCTGCAGATGAGGAGCTCAATGTGGGCCCTCAGCCGAGCAATGGAGTGAGTCTCCTTCACCTCATTAGCTGGAAACACTTCCTGCTTGAACAGGTAAGCAGGTCTGTAAACTTTGCATGGTACACAGTCATCTACTAAAAAACCTTTGTCGACCATAATGGCCATTCCAGGTTTCAGGAGCGACACAATCCCAGACTGCAGCAGAAGTTCCTTGTCACTGACAGATCCTGCACACAAGGATGACACAAAAGTGACTGCACCATGCGGTGCTATGCCAATTAAACCCTTGAAAGAGCAATGGGACTCTTCGCCTTGAAGCCGGAGAGAGGATGGTGTTCGGCAACGCAGCTCTGTGCAGTCAATCACTACTTGTGTGTCTGGGTAGTCTTTGAATTCCTTTGGCATTTGAGCCTTGACCGCCTCCTCAGGCATCCAGACGCGCACAGATCCAAGAATGGTGTACAGAAAATGGGCCCATTTTCTAATTATTTGACTTGCAGTGGACTGATGGATGTTGAATCTGTGGCCCAGATCCCTCTTTACTAGCCCAATCGAGAGATGGACCATGAAGAGAAAAAACTCATCTATGGGCTGCAGGGACTGAAACTGTAAAAAGAACAAAATTGGAGAAGTGTATGTTAATATAGAGAAAGTAAGTCTAATTTCTTTCTATTTCAACTTTCTATTCTCACATAAATGATAGATTATAAATTAGAATTGTAGATTTACAGATGCTCCGTCTTCACTCTTTGTTGTTGCTCTGGTCAAACGAAGCATGTTGAGAGATGCAGGCTCTATCAGTCTCCAGAACGCCATCAAGTGGTTGTAAGTCGCAAACCTACAAGATGTGGGACATGTTTGAGATAATATAGCCTACACCAACAAATGTAATGCACAACCTTGAGTTGTAGCTTATACTTTTTGTTAAGAGAAAAATATAAGGCTATATGAACTATAAATCCTTGTAAAAACTAAGTATTTGTATAACAGAAATAATAGACTATACTTTAAAAGAATATACTTGCACACAAACTGAAATAATAGACTATACTTTAATAGAATATACTTGCACACAAACTGATTGAATGTAATGTTTCCTGTCATGTATTTTTAAATATAGGCTATTTGAAATTGCACATTTGTAATGTTGCAATTTAATATATATATTAACTTTAAATGTAATATCAAATAACCACACTACAGTTAATTAATTTATAAATTATGTTTTAATGTATAGTGCTTTAAATGTGCTCAACTATGTTTGTCAACACATCAAAATAAATCTTTAAAGTAAAAAAAAAACAAAAAAAAAAACCCAAAGGTTTTTTGTGCTGTGTACGTAAAGTGGTTTCAGAAACATGTCATCAGTTTTGGGTAAATTACTCCAAAAAAAAAAAAAAAGTAATTAATTTCAGCTACTTTATCTTCAACAGTGAGACCAATACAAGGGTACAATTGAAAAATACAGGAGTAGACATGAAACTGCTCTTTTAATGTTTTCAAATAAATAATATAAAATTGCAAATAAATTATTCTTGAACTGACCAAAGTATATAAAGTGAGAAGGTTACATTAAAAACAAACATTTTAACATTAGGATTTATATTTTCATGTTAATCCACTATTGTGTTATATAGAGGAAAAATATAGTCTTCACAGTATTTAATGCATCAAAACTGTCAATTACAGAAAAAAATGAAGGGCAATCCCTTACTTTACTTGTATCAAGGGATAAGTAATTAAATTACAGTGATTAATTGATGCATTACACTCAACACCTATGTCATGAAAGAGTAGGCTACTCTTTAAGAAAAGTTAAGTGGCATATTTTTGTAACATTATGCAAGTAGTTTTTATTTATTTTTTTTGTAGTGCAAGTGCAAATTCAATACAATTAAAATAACTTCTTTTAACAAATGTATTATTACAAGTTTTAGTTTCAGACGACCAATGTGTATGTTATACTGTTTACGTTTTAGAGCTTACCTTGTGTAAAACCGTATGTCATCATCAGATGCAGCAAATCGCCCCAAACAAAATCGCTGAAGGAGTGTCAACTCTGCCACCTGTTTCATCAGGCTCTCCACTTGCTTTCGGAGATCTTCGGTCTGCTTCACAGCCAGATTAACCTGGACTGGAGATGAGCAATAATCATGATCCTGATGTGGGAAGTCCGTAGGCACGCGATCTTCTTTGAAAACTTGAGTGAAAACTTTCCTTTTGCGCTTAGGTGCTGGAGTGGATTCGTCCCTCGGGAACACCGTGGGCACAGCACCCTTCTTCAGTAGCCGGCGCGCTGTAGGAGTCGATGGCTCAATCAAATCATCACTCGTGAAGTGACGACTGCAGACTCTTGTATTAGGAGTAACGTTTAAATCCTCACGCCCGACATTGAAAAGCCACTTTTCCCGCATTCCGTCATCCAAAGGGAAACTATGGAAACTTATCACAG